CCAGTCGACCCTCAGTATTGCGAGTCGAGTGTTTATACATATCTGTTTAATTCTTACAATACCAATTACTGAGCTTTACTTTTGTTATTATTATAAGCTAATAACGAGTGTGTTTACAAAGTTTCAACCATTTAGGTTGGATGTTGTATCTTCTATAGTTAAATTCGTTAAATTGTTTAAAGAATCATTTTATGTTTTAGAGTGACAGGAAGAAGGAATTATGATATCATTTTAAGATATTAAATAGTTATGTTTTATATTTATAGAGAATATTTATCTTAATTAGTTGAGATACATCCTCTAGAAAACATTTCAAACACATCTAGCTTTTAATCATTTGTTTGGGCAACTAACATGCATTAAGAATTTGTAATTTTAAACCTGGAAGGCATCTTATATGATACACAGACTAAACAGCAAGGTTTTAAAACCATGATGTTCAACTCTACTTAACATTAATTTTAATTTACTAACCAGAGGTAGGGCGGCAATTCGTGCTTTATCCTGTTGTTTGAACCGAGTAAGGGATTGACTGTCACTTCTATAATGTTCTCAATTCTGAAAGTACGAAACATATTCAACGGTGTTACTGCTTTAACCTCGGACCCTTCGATCTGCAGCTTTACACGCTAACCAATGGGCGACACCTCGCCTAACTCAAAAAGGACGCAATAATATTTGAGACATTTTTGTGTTGAATCGAAAGTTTAAAACCTACTATGATACTGATATGATATTACAGAATGATATAAATTATTTATGTATAGAAACTAATGACGAAAATATTAGTCTTTTCACGAATAAATATGAAGGATGAAAACAAGAGAATACACAGAAATATTAAATTTAAAACACAAGAATATTTTTATAAGCGATTTAACTGATACACGTCTATTTTTAGTAGTCGATCAGCAAATACTTTAATAATGTTTTATTTTAAAACATTTATATAATTCATGAGCTTGGAACATAGGTACTATTAACCTGTATTATATGTTCTTGTTGTGAATGTATCCGTATATAACTCTTCCAACCTGTAATATGTATAACGTCCTTTAACGGAGTGAAGCTTCCACAAGAATGAAGGTGTAGACAAACTGATTCGAGTCACGTGATCTAATTGTATGGAAGGAGGTGCCTGTGTTTGGTATAATCTCTCCGTTATTGGTCGTAACAAAACGCAGTTTGTACAATCCGGAAAGAGTAACGCACCGATTGGTAAATATCTTAGCAAAGTTCTGTTAATTTTAGAGTAATTAAAAATTAGGTTATATTATTGGCTTAAGGGTGTTGGATGAATGATATAAAAAGGGTTTTCTAAGCTGAAATATTCATTAAAACAGCAACGTTCTCAACATGAAAGTATTATTTGCAACTCTTGTTGTGTTCATAAGCCTGACGTTGACGAAAGGCAACATTATCGATATAGCTATGCAAATGATATGTAGTAAGTTCATTTTCAAATTATATTGGTGGATAAAATATTTAGTAATTGTATTACTGGAATAAATGTTCTCTTTTCATATCTCTACATAACCAGTATAAAAACAACGCAACAAAAAACTAGAGTAAAATATTAAAGTAAAATTTTATCATACACACAATTTAGTGCTGTTGCTATTTTCTGTAACTCTAAAAAGTCGAGAGTTAATTTTGAAAACTTCAACAGACATATTTGATCTGGGTTATACATTATCTTCTGGAATAATCTGAAGCTATACACTTTTATACTTAAAAATAATTTATAATAGGTCTGTAATAGGGCAAGTTCTTCCTTTTTTTAAATTATTAAAGTGTTTTTACGAATACTGGTTTGTAACATGAGAAAAATGTCTTCAGGTAAATCAAATATTTTTTTATTTCATGCAGAGATGAATGTTGAGAAGCCTGAAAAAATTAACGAGCTGAGAGATTGTATGGATTCAATTTTTAAAGAAAAATCAGATTTGGTTGGTATTTGTTGAATTATTTTTAATCGTGTTTCGGTAATTCATTGTAATTTGGCAAACAATATGTTGCTAACGTGAATGTGCTAATTTTAGACATTGAACAGATCTTGAACGTTGTAATTTTAATTTAATTTTACATTTCTTTAGTTATAATTGTCATTCTCTATCTTTGTATGAAGAATGTTATATACCTTAAGTTTATAAGTAGTAGATGTATAAATAAAGATATGCAAATTGTAATTAAAATTTAATTTATATTGAGGGTTAATTTGACCCATTAATGAAAAATCCTAAAAATCACAGTCTCCTGGTGGATCAGCTGTAAAATTATGGACTTATAAGGCTAAAATATGTGGTTCGATTCCCCACAGTGAGCAGAACACAGACAGCATATTGTGTTACTAAAGGTAACAAACAACATTAAAAACAAGTGTATTAAAACAACAACATTCAAGTAAGATAGAAATGTATTTTAATAACGTTTCTGTATTTTACAACCAGGAAAACTATTTATACAACGTTTCAAACTTGAAGTTCTAACGTACAGAAACGAAACATTTCCAATTTGTAACTGATATTTAACAAACTTTAAACTAGCAGAAGTAAGTCCTGTCAGAAACAGTAAATCTATTGTTCTGTAAACGACACCAAAATATTGATGAATATTTCCCCATATTGTTATATTTATACATAACTCACATTTATAGAACGGTGCGATACTACTTCCATTGTATTTTCTTTGTTTTAGTTATGTTTTTCATTCTCTGTCTTTGTTTGAATAATGCTACATACTTTCAGCTTATAAACAGTTGTTCATGTCTAAATAAACATATCAAGGTGATTGTAAACAAACAGAAGATAAAACATATTTGAATGTAGTTATGATACAATATAGGATAATTATATCTTTCTTGACTCGTTAATCTAAGTATACAATTAATTGTTATGAAAGCAAAGATGTAGAGTATAATATTAAATTAAGTATTTTTCGTCTCAAGCTTCCAGATGCAATTCGAGAATGTGATTTTGCAAAATTTCCGTACCAGAAGTATGAAGACTACGCGAATGAAATGTGCAAAGAAGAAAGATATGATGATCGTACAGGTGATGATGAACTATTATATATATCTACTCTTATATAATTCATTTCTGAAATATATTTACTTATTTATCTTAAAATGTTTTAAAATGAGCTATTACAGGAAAAAGTTCATTTTATAACCACCAGGATAATATACAGTTGATAGTTCAAATAAATGACGTTTCAGTACTCTAGAGACGCGGTAATTTGTGACCTTTCATTATGAGTTGTTGTTGTTGTTTCTGATATTAACAATGAAAATATAATTCAATAGATTTGCTTACAGTGTAGACTTTTGATATAAATTAATTTTGAAACTCTAAACAGATATAGAATTCAGGAAGAGAAGTCTTCAAACTCTGGAAGTGTGTTTAACTAACATATATATTACGGTTTGGAAGTTATAAAGAAGGGAATGAATGAAGTAAATTTATATTTACCAAGGACAGTGTTATATGTGATATCCTACAATAGACGTATAATTCAGTTCTGAAGCTTTAAAAAATTACATTTTATGCTTGTACAAACTTCCAATCTTGTAATATCTTACATAACATTAAGCCTTATTTATCTGAGTATGCAGGATGTCCAGAAATGCATCGTTGATAAATTTGCAGCAGTTCACGAGGATGTAGAATCTATACTCTCTGAAATGATTGACAAGTGTCTCTAAGGAGGTAAGTGAATAAGGTTAAACATACAATTATGTTAGCAATATATTAAACAACTATCTCTGGACTTGAACATCTTATGTGCTGAAAAGTGTATAAACATTATTATCTACAAGAACATCTAAAAATGTTTATAGTTTCAAATAACGTAACGTGTTGTATAACGGTTAGACTTTGTAGTAACTATTCATGTGTCAATTCCATAACTTTCACTTTAAGTAAAAAATACCATAACGATAAAAAAAATTCAAAATAATATTATTAATTAATATGTTTATTTCTGTTTCCGCAGCATAGCAAACTGGCGCTTTAATTATTCTTTTATTTTCTAAATTACATAATTTTATGAAAATAATTTTTGGTTATTACTAAGCACGGTAGTACTTAGTTTGTAGGGGTGGGCCAAGAAAAAAAATGGCAGCCGCATTCAATCTTATTATTCTATGATGTTTACAAATAACTGCTAAAGTTGAGTTATAGCCTTAATTGAACACCTAATTGTCATTATTGAGTGTTTCA